CCCTGTCTCTCCTGGCAGCACGCACGAGCGTGGCATGGCAGAGCCGCGCCTCCACCTGCTGCCGGTTGGCTCTCCATGAGAGGGCTGCTGCCTCACTCGCCTCTGCTGCTGCCTGCACGTCCCTTGCTGCCTGCACGTCCCTTGCTGCCTGCACGTCCCTTGCTGCCTGCACGTCCCTCGCCGCCGCTGCTGCCTCCCCCGCCAGCAGATCGTACTCTGGGCGACATGGTCAGGAGGGAATGGGCGGGGAGGGGTGGTTGAAAGCATGAGAAAGTGAGAGCGTTTAGGGGAGGGAGAGAAGGGAAAAAGAGGAGGATTGGAGGGGGAAGGAAGGATCAAAGTCAGAAAAATTGCAGACAACTTTGGTGAAGTTGGGAGACATAGAGAGGGAGGGAAGAGTGGAGACAGAGGTAATACAGGCTGAGGCGTGAAAGGGGATAGGAGTCAAGAGTGGCGAAGGCCAGTGGAGAGGAAAAGGACTGAGTGTGTTTGGATGCGAGTGCAGTGGCAGCATGTGTAGTCGCAGCACTATGTGGGGAGTGGGTGGCAGCAGGGACCTGCTTGGAGTCGCAGCAGGATCTCAAAAGGAAGTCGCATACCAGCTCCTCCATCTCCTCCTCGCTCACCTCCTGCTTCCATGCATACACACGCGTGAGAGAAGACGCATGCACACTCACGCACGCACACACGCATGCACACACGCATGCACACACGCACGCACGCACGCACGCACGCACGCACACAAACACAAATACAACGACATATATATACACAAACATGCACATGGACACACACATACACGCATGCACACACACACACAAACACAGGAGGCATGAGTGCAGGCAAGGCTAAATTGCATGCAGACTGGGAGGAGGCTGTTAGGATGTTAAGAGAGTGAGAGAGAGGCGGGGTAAGGTGAGAGGGTGGAGACAGAGGGTGTGACCGTAGTATGGGTGGATGCGATTCCAAATACAAAAATAATAGCATCTTGCTATTTTAAGCATGACATAACTGATGAACCAAAGAGATGACCAATACACTCCAACCAACCAACTCCCTGGATTGTGGGGTACGAGGGGGTGAAGTGAAGTACCTTGAGATGTGTGGGCAGCTCTGTGCACAGCTGGCACATGGCTCCATCTCCGGGCACTGCTGCAGCTGCCGCCTGCACACCTGGTGGGGGGAGAGGAAGAGGGAAGAAGGACGGAGGTGCAGTAGCACGGCGGTGCAGTGGAGCAAGGGAAGTGGTCGAGGAGGTGCGAAGAGGTAAGAGGGAAGATACATGCAGGAGATCGATGGCGAGCTTAAAGACAATTGCAGTGGTCTGCTCCACTGCAGTTATACAATGACAGATGAGTGATGAGAGATGGGAGATGAGAGGCACCAAGGGGGCGGAAGAAAAGGGGTGGATGAGAGGGAGGGAAGCACACAGAGGCAAGAGGATAGAGGCAAGCACAGGGACACGAGGATAGAGGCAAGCACAGGAACACGAGGATAGAGGCAAGCACAGGGACACGAGGATAGAGGCAAGCACAGGGACACGAGGATAGAGGCAAGCACAGGGACACGAGGATAGAGGCAAGCACAGGGACACGAGGATAGAGGCAAGCACAGGGACACGAGGATAGAGGCAAGCACAGGGACACGAGGATAGAGGCAAGCACAGGGACACGAGGATAGAGGCAAGCACAGGGACACGAGGATAGAGGCAAGAACAGGGACACGAGGATAGAGGCAAGCACAGGGACACGAGGATAGAGGCAAGCACAGGGACACGTGGATAGAGACAAGCACAGGGACACGTGGATAGAGGCAAGCACAGGGACACGAGGATAGAGGCAAGCACAGGGACACGAGGATAGAGGCAAGCACAGGGACACGAGGATAGAGGCAAGCACAGGGACACGAGGATAGAGGCAAGCACAGGGACACGAGGATAGAGGCAAGCACAGGGACACGAGGATAGAGGCAAGCACAGGGACACGAGGTTGGGTGTGATGGAGAGACACCAAGAGAGTGGAGGAATCGGGTTGGATGGGGGAAAAGGATGGCAAATCCGGAGCACACAGAGGTGGCAGGGGAACGGCAAGCAAGGGAGCGGAGGGGAGGGGGTGGATGAGAGGCACCAAGGGAGGGGAACAACGAGGGTGGATGAGAGGGAGGGAAGCTTGTATTGTCTAAAGCAAAGAAGGCAAGAATGCAGAGGCGAGCATGAAGGAGGTGGAAGAGAGGAATGATATGACTAGAGGAGTTGGGGGCCATGCGAGAATCCTGAGAGAGTGGATGTCGAGGGCAAAGTGAGGGCAGCGGGCGGCAGTGCAAGAGGCAGTGGTGAGCGACGAGAGTAGCAGCGAGCAGCAGGTGACACAGAGAGTGCGTTGTGGAGCGAGCAGGCACAGCTGCTGCTGGAACTGTTCAGACTGACAACAGTTGCTGAAGACGTTAGTTCACTGAGCATGGTGTCACCATGCCGAGAATGATGCCAGCGTGCTGAGAATGATGCCAGCGTGCCGAGAATGATGCCAGCGTGCTGAGAATGATGCCAGCGTGCTGAGAATGATGCCAGCGTGCCGAGAATGATGCCAGCGTGCTGAGAATGATGCCAGCGTGCCGAGAATGATGCCAACGTGCTGAGAATGATGCCAGCGTGCTGAGAATGATGCCAGCGTGCTGAGAATGATGCCAGCGTGCCGAGAATGATGTCGAAGACGCGGAAGACAAGGTGGTGAGGCATGGTGCGCGCGAAAAGCATGAGGAACCATACATCACCTGGTGGCGCCATGCCATGTATGTATGGTGCCGTGCCATGCCATGTATGGTGCCGTGCCATGCCATGTATGGTGCCGTGCCATGCCATGTATGGTGCCGTGCCATGCCATGTATGGTGCCGTGCCATGCCATGTATGGTGCCATGCCATGCCATGTATGGTGCCGTGCCATGCCATGTATGGTGCCGTGCCATGCCATGTATGGTGCCGTGCCATGCCATGTATGGTGCCGTGCCATGCCATGTATGGTGCCATGCCATGCCATGTATGGTGAGGTGCCATGCCATGTATGGTGCCGTGCCATGCATGAGGTGTGGTTGGGCGTGGTGGGGGGTGGAGTGCATGGGGTGAGGGGGGGGGAGCAATGCGGATGAAAAGAATAGTGGTTGTGGGATGCCGTGTCAAAGCTGAAGAGAGCATGGTGTTGTGAGGCATGGTGTTGTGAGGCATGGTGATTGAACACAATAGCTGAGACACATCACAAGAACTGGTATGGCATGGCCCGGCGTGGGGTGGCATAGCATGGCATTACATGGCATCGCGTGGATGGCATGGTGTGGTATGGCGTGGCATGGGGTGAAATAGCATGGCATCGCATGGCGTGGCATGGCATAGCATGGCATAGCGTGGCATGGCATAGCGTGGCATGGCAGAGCGTGGCATGGCATAGCGTGGCATGGCATAGCGTGGCATGGCATGGCGTGGCATGGCATGGCAGAGCGTGGCAGGGCAGAGCGTGGCATGGCATAGCGTGGCATGGCATAGCGTGGCATGGCATAGCGTGGCATGGCATGGCGTGGCGTGGCATGGCAGAGCGTGGCATGGCAGAGCGTGGCATGGCAGAGCGTGGCATGGCAGAGCGTGGCATGGCAGAGCGTGGCATGGCAGAGCGTGGCATGGAATAGCGTGGCATAGCGTGGCATGTCATAGCGTGGCATGGCATAGCGAGGCATGGCATAGCGTGGCATGGCATGGCGTGGCATGGCATGGCGTGGCGTGGCATGGCAGAGCGAGGCATGGCAGAGCGTGGCATGGCAGAGCGTGGCATGGCATAGCGTGGCATGGCATAGCGTGGCATGGCATGGCGTGGCGTGGCATGGCAGAGCGTGGCATGGCAGAGCGTGGCATGGCATAGCGTGGCATGGCATAGCGTGGCATGGCATAGCGTGGCATGGCATGGCGTGGCGTGGCATGGCAGAGCGTGGCATGGCAGAGCGTGGCATGGCATAGCGTGGCATGGCATAGCGTGGCATGGCATGGCGTGGCGTGGCATGGCAGAGCGTGGCATGGCAGAGCGTGGCATGGCAGAGCGTGGCATGGCAGAGCGTGGCATGGCAGAGCGTGGCATGGCAGAGCGTGGCATGGCAGAGCGTGGCAGGCAGAGCGTGGCATGGCAGAGCGTGGCATGGCATAGCGTGGCATAGCGTGGCATGTCATAGCGTGGCATGGCATAGCGAGGCATGGCATAGCGTGGCATGGCATGGCGTGGCATGGCATGGCGTGGCGTGGCATGGCAGAGCGAGGCATGGCAGAGCGTGGCATGGCAGAGCGTGGCATGGCAGAGCGTGGCATGGCAGAGCGTGGTATGGCAGAGCGTGGCATGGCAGAGCGTGGCATGGCAGAGAGTGGCATGGCAGAGCGTGGCATGGCAGAGCGTGGCATGGCAGAGCGTGGCATGGCAGAGCGTGGCATGGCAGAGCGTGGCGTGGCAGAGCGTGGCGTGGCAGAGCGTGGCATGGCAGAGCGTGGCATGGCAGAGCGTGGCATGGCAGAGCGTGGCATGGCAGAGCGTGGCATGGCAGAGCGTGGCATGGCAGAGCGTGGCATGGCAGAGCGTGGCATGGCAGAGCGTGGCATGGCAGAGCGTGGCATGGCAGAGCGTGGCATGGCAGAGCGTGGCATGGCAGAGCGTGGCATGGCAGAGCGTGGCATGGCAGAGCGTGGCATGGCAGAGCGTGGCATGGCAGAGCGTGGCATGGCAGAGCGTGGCATGGCAGAGCGTGGCATGGCAGAGCGTGGCATGGCAGAGCGTGGCATGGCAGAGCGTGGCATGGCATAGCGTGGCATGGGGTGTGGCATACGGGTTTGATGTTGAGGTGTTCGGAGAAGGCGTGCACGCGTGGCAGAGTGTGGATGAGCAGCAGGGTGAGCAGCTGGATGAGCAGCAGGGTGAGCTGGTACATGCGCACTTGCAGCTGTGTGTGGGGGGGGCACAGGGGCACACATCGTCGTTCACACAAACGGGCATTCACACAAGCGCACTGCGCGCGCGCGACAAAAAGTCCAGCCACGCCGCACCGCTGCGGCTGCTGCAGAGGGTGGAGCACGTGAGGGGCACGTGAGGGGCACGTGAGGGGCACGTGAGGGGCACGTGAGGGGCACGTGAGGGGGATGTGAAGGGCATGTGAAGGGCATGTGAAGGGCATGTGAAGGGCATGTGAAGGGCATGTGAAGGGCATGTGAAGGGCATGTGAAGGGAGGAGAGGGGCATGTGAGGGGCATGTGAGCGGAGGGGCATGTGAGGGGCATGTGAGGGGCATGTGGGGGGAAGCTGATGAGCGGAGCACTGTTAACCTGTTAAGGGCGAAGCGATGGCGATAGGAAAGTAGAAAGCACAAATGATTCAGGTGAGAAGCACAGATACATTGGTTTGTAGGGAGGGACAGTGCAGCTGTGAGGCGGTAAGGGCGGGTAAGAGAGGCTTGAGTGACACGGGCAGGCAGTGGAGCAGCGGCAGGGGCTGCCGCACATCCAGCAGCGGTGGGAAGGTCGACATCCACCACCTGCGATTACATGGCATGCGAGGGGTGGGAGTAAGCACGGTGGGAGTGAGCGCGGTGGGCGAGAGCAGGGTGGGAGTGAGCGGGGTGGGGGAGAGCGGGGAGGGAGAGAGCGCGGTGGGAGAGAGCGGGTGGGAGAGAGCGGTGGGAGAGAGCGGGTGGGAGAGAGAGCGGGTGGGAGAGAGAGCGGGTGGGAGAGAGAGCGGGTGGGAGAGAGAGCGGGTGGGAGAGAGAGCGGGTGGGAGAGAGAGCGGGTGGGAGAGAGAGCGGGTGGGAGAGAGAGCGGGTGGGAGAGAGAGCGGGTGGGAGAGAGAGCGGGTGGGAGAGAGAGCGGGTGGGAGAGAGAGCGGGTGGGAGAGAGAGCGGGTGGGAGAGAGAGCGGGTGGGAGAGAGAGCGGGTGGGAGAGAGAGCGGGTGGGAGAGAGAGCGGGTGGGAGAGAGAGCGGGTGGGAGAGAGAGCGGGTGGGAGAGAGAGCGGGTGGGAGAGAGAGCGGGTGGGAGAGAGAGCGGGTGGGAGAGAGAGCGGGTGGGAGAGAGAGCGGGTGGGAGAGAGAGCGGGTGGGAGAGAGAGCGGGTGGGAGAGAGAGCGGGTGGGAGAGAGAGCGGGTGGGAGAGAGAGCGGGTGGGAGAGGACGTTCTTAGGGGGGAAAGAGAGAACAAGAGGGCAAGAAAGCGCCGTTGCGAGAAAGCCATCCCATCCCATCCCGTCCCATCCCATCCCATCCCACCCCATTGTCAAACATTATATATGTTGTGTTAGTTTAGGCTACAGTGGGTTAGCCTATAGGGGGTACACAATTCTAGGGTTAGGTACTTGTACTCTTTTCATTGCTAGTTCATTCATTCCTGTTCAGTAATTCCAACATGGTATAGAGCAGGTCCTTCCTAGGACCGAAATTTTCTAAGGGCCCACCACTACGTAACTACCTACCTACCTACCTACCCGTGCCCTAGGGCGCCTCGGCGTGTCACGCCCCTAGAGGCCCCTCTTGACGGCCCCGCGCTAGCCCCGTTCAGGCCCCGTCGGCCCCTTTAAGGCCCCGTTCAGGCCCCGCGCTAGCCCCGTTTAGGCCCCGTCGGCCCCGTTTCAGGCCCCGTCGGCCCCGCGCTAGCCCCTCTCAGGCCCCGTCGGCCCGCGCTAGCCCCGTTTCAGGCCCCGTCGGCCCCGTTTCAGGCCCCGTCGGCCCCGCGCTAGCCCCTCTCAGGCCCCGTCGGCCCGCGCTAGCCCCGTTTCAGGCCCCGTCGGCCCGCGCTAGCCCCGTTTCAGGCCCCGTAGGCCCCACGCTAGCCCCTCTCAGGCCCCGTCGGCCCCGCGCTAGCCCCATTCAGGCCCCGATCGGGCCCGCGCTAGCCCCGTTTCAGGCCCCTTCGGCCCCGTTTCAGGCCCCGTCGGCCCCGCGCTAGCCCCGTTCAGGCCCCGTCGGCTCCTTGCTAGCCCCGTCAAGGCCCCGTTTGGCCCCGCGCTAGCCCCGCCCAGGCCCTGATCGGCCCCGCGCTCGCCCCTCTAGGGCCCCAACCGGCCCCGTGCCTACCTCGCCGACCCGTGCCCACCACCCAGAGGCCCCGGGCGGCCCGTTCCCGCCGCAGCACAAGAGGGAGAGCGGGCGGCCCGTCCCCGCCGTGACCTGAGCCGAGCCGCGCGCCCCGAGCCGAGCCGCGCCACCCAGCCGAGCCGCGACCCGACCTGAACCGAGCCGCGCCGCCCTGCCCTACCTGGTTCGTCCTACCTGCTTCTCCTACCGCTACTGCTGCTATTTCTACTGTTCCTATGGCTAGCCCACAGGTTCTCGTGTTCGATGCTGAGGGCCGCCCTGTGAAGTTTGACACCTGGCTCGATGACCTGCACCTCTACCTACAGCTCACAGCCAAGGATGACATCTCACTGTACGATCATGCCCTAGGCCTTGTCACTGCCCCTGCTGCTACTGCTGACAGCACTGCTCGCTCACAGTGGCAGACTCGTGATGCCCACGCTCGCTTCGCCATTCGCAACTCCCTGCCGATAGACGAACGCGAGCACTTTGGTCAGCACAAGACTACACCGGCACTGTACACAGCTGTAGTTGCTCGCTACTCCTCACCTGCCTCTGCCGCACTAGGCCGTCTCTCCCTCCCCTACCTGTTTCCCGACCTGGCCTCCTTTCACACAGTCGCTGACCTCATCACGCACCTCCGTACTAGTGAGGCCCGCTTCCGTGCCGCCATGCCTGCTGAGTTCCTTGCCACGCACCCCCCTCCACTCTGGCTCACTCTCTACCACCTAGTCACCCGCCTCCCTGACACACTGCGTGCTGTCAGGGACCACTTCCTAGCTCGTTGCCCCACTGAGCTCACCATTGCCCTCCTCGAGAAGGAGCTACTTGCAGCTGAGGCTAGCATAGTCGCTGTAGGTGCCTCTCGTGGCGACCCCCGTACCCCGTTCTTTGAGGGGTGTTCTCCTTCCCCCCTTCTTCCCTCTGTCGCCTCTGCTGCTGCTGTCGACCTTCTTGGTACTGAGAAGGTCGGCGCTGCGTCTGCCTCGAGTGGACGCCGCAGCGGCAAGGGCAAAGGGGGCAAGGGTAGTGGCGGTGACGGCGGGGGAGGCGGCGGTGGGGGCGGTGGAGGCAGTGGGGGTGGTGGCTCGGCTGGAGGGGCGAGTGGTAGCGGTGGGGGTGGTGGCTGCAGCGGCGGGGGAGGTGGCAGGAGTGGAGGCGGCGGTTGGGGTGGCGGTGGACGAGGCGGCGGCAGGGGTTGGGGTGGTCGAGGAGGTGGCAGCGGTGGTGGTGGCCGTGGAGGCGCTGGCGGTGGCCAGGGCCAGCAGCACACTCTCTCGCCCCAGGAGGTCCGTGAGTGGTACTCTCAGCACGGGGGTGGGGGTGGTCTTAGCTGCACGTACGTCATTCGCACTGGTGACCGCACTGGTCAGCAGTGTGGACGACCGCACGCCACACAGCGCTGCTTCTCTCGTCTCGACGACGCTTGGCGTGTTCAGTTCCCTCAGGCCACTGAGCTGCCCCGCTGGCTTGATCTCCTGAAGAAGGGGATTGATATCTATGCTCTAGACTTTGATGCTATTCTATCTGCCATGTATGTGATGTCTACTAGTGGAGAGGGTGCTGAGTACTTGTGTGTGCCGCCCGACCCGGGCATTAGGGCCAGTGCGTCTGCCGCTCCAGGTACTCACGTGTCGGCTACCCCAGGTGCTGGTGAGGCTGCTGCTCTAGGTGCTCGTGTGTCTCCCCCCCTTGGTACTGCGTCGACTGCCGCACTGCACACCTTCACACTGGACTCAGGTGCTTCTCGCTGCTTCTTTCGTGACCGCACTGCCCTTGAGCCGCTTGCTCGGCCAGTTGCTGTCTCCCTTGCTGACCCCTCTGGGGGTCCGGTCATTGCGACCTCTTCCACTGTCCTTCCCTGCCCTGCGGTCCCGTCGGGCACACTGTCAGGTCTCCACCTCCCCTCGTTCTCTACGAACTTGGTGGCAGGCTGTGCACTCCAGGACGGGGGTGTTCACCAGTTCACCCCTGCCTACGAGCGCGTGACACACTGCACGTGTGCTCGTACGGGCCGTCACTTGGCTACCTTCACTCGGCAGCCGGGGTCGGACCTGTACACACTGACTACTGAGTCCCCTCAGGTTGCTGCGACTGCGTCCGCGTCCGCGTCAGGTCAGCTGTCCGCCCCCTGCTCGTGTCGCTCTTTGGCACACGAGACTGTCCTCTGGCACCACCGCCTTGGCCACCCGTCTGTGCAGCGGCTTCGTGCCATGCACTCCAGGTACCTTGTCTCTGGCCTGCCCAGGGTCCTTCCTCCCCTCCCACCCTCGCCTGCTCCTACCTGTCTCCCCTGTGTCGAGGGACGGCAGCGCGCCGCTCCTCACTCCTCCTCGTTCCCCCCGACGACTGCTCCCTTGCAGACACTCCACATGGACGTGTGGGGCCCAGCCCGCGTCCGTGGTCAGGGTCAGGAGAGGTACTTCCTGATAGTTGTTGACGACTACTCGCGCTACACCTCGGTCTTCCCCTTGCGCACCAAGGGTGAGGTCCCTGATGTCTTGATCCCTTGGATCCGCCGAGCCCGTCTCCAGCTCAGCGAGCGTTTTCACTCGGACTTTCCTGTCCTGCGCTTGCACTCTGACAGAGGTGGTGAGTTCTCCTCCGACCTCTTGGCAGCCTACTGTGCTGAGCACGGCATTGAGCAGTCGTTCACGCTTCCGGCTTCTCCACAGCAGAATGGGGTTGCGGAGCGCCGCATTGGCCTGGTCATGGAGGTCGCCCGTACCTCCTTGATCCATGCGGCTGCCCCCCACTTTCTGTGGCCGTTTGCGGTCCGGTACGCTGCGCATCAACTCAACCTCTGGCCCCGTGTCTCCTTGCCGGAGACCTCGCCCACGCTACTGTGGACGGGGGAGGTTGGCGATGCGTCGCGTTTCCGGGTCTGGGGGTCTCGAGCTTTTGTCCGCGATTCGTCTGCGGACAAGCTCTCCTCCCGTGCTGTTCCCTGCGTCTTCCTCGGCTTTGTCCCGGACGCGTCTGGTTGGCAGTTTTACCACGCCACCTCGCGCCGAGTCTTGCCCTCCCAGGACGTCACTTTTGACGAGTCCGTCCCCTACTACCGCCTCTTCCCCTACCGCACTGCCCCGCTCCCCCCCCCGCCTCTCTTCCTCTCGCCAGGTGCTGCTGTTGCAGACCCCCTCCCCCCTCAGGGTGCCGCTCCCTCAGGTGTGTCTCAGGTAGACCCGGTTGAGCCTGTTGAGGTAGCTGTCGACTCTCGTCCTGCTGGGGGTGCTGAGCCTGGGGGTGCTGAGCCTGGGGGTGTGGAGCCTGGGGGTGTGGAGCCTGGGGGTGTGGAGCCTGGGGGTGTGGAGCTTGAGGGTGCTGAGCTTGGGGGGGTGGAGCCTCGTGGTACTGAGCTGCGGAGTCCGGAGTCTGGGGGTTCTGCGTCTGGAGGTACGAGGTCTGGGAGTCCTGCACCTGGAGGAGCCCTCTCCTCGGAGCAGCTACGTGCGTGGTACTTAGAGTACTGCAGCCTCCGGAGAGGTACCACTCGAGCCGGACGTACTACTGGGACTGGTGCTAGTACTTCTTCTCCCGTTCGGGAGCTCCCCTCCCGCGAGCGGATCCGTGAGTGGTACGAGCGGCGCTGCACTCTTCGGAGTGGCGTGCCTCGTGTTACGAACCCCGCTGCCGTTGGAGCTGCTGCTGGTGCTGAGGACCCGGGCGTTGGAGCCGCTGCTGGTGCTGAGGACCCGGGCGTTGGAGCTGCTGCTGGTGCTGAGGACCCAGGCGTTGGAGCTACTGCTGGTGCTGAGGACCCGGGCGTTGGAGCTACCGCTGGTGCTGAGGACGTGGGCGCTGGAGCTCCTGCTGGTGCTGCGGACCCTGGTGCGGGTGTCCCTGCTGGCTCTGGTGTCGCTGCTCGGTCTCGGCCGTACTTTGTTCCGCTCCTTCAGCAGGTTCTTGGTCAGCTTCCTCCTCCTTTTCCTCCTCCCTCCTTAGAGTGTCCTCAGCCTGTCCAGCTGCAGTCGGCGTTACCGTCTGCCTCCTCTCTCCTTGGTCCTGCTCCTTACACTGGTCCGACTGGAGGTCTTACTGAGCGGCGTGAGCCTGCGTCTCGTCCTGCGTCGCCTGAGTCTCGTCCTGGGTCGCCTGTCCGCACTGCTCTCTCTAGTCGTCGAGTCCAGCGTCAGCGTCTTCCTGCTGTCCCAGGCACTCACCGGATGGCGCTTCGTCCGTCCACTGCTCCCCAGCGTGT